CTTTCCCAAGGTCAAGCAGCTTTCAGGCTGATTTTTGTTTCTGTGAGTTTGTGTGGAGGGAGACATTTGACCCACTGACTGTCTCTGAGCTGAAGAAGCTGAAAGTTCTCATTAAAGAGGCTCTGCCTTGCTGGCTGCATCTCAGCTAAATGGGACTCTGCATCTGCGAACAGAGGACTAATGAGTTCGCTTTGACACCCATCCATCAGAGCTGTAAATAGTATTGCACAGGCCAGTTAGGTGCTGGACTGAGTGAGTAAATGAAGTACCAGATGTAGCTGGGAATGGAGAAGGAGCATGTGAAGTTTCACATGATCCTCTGTTCAAAAGTACTCTGGAGGTGGGAATATGCCTTTGGTTCCAGCATTTCGCTTGCCTGAAAAGCAAAATGGATGCCAAAAATGATCAGGAAATTATATCTTTATACCAATGCAGTCATGATTTTCTATATGAAGTCTCATCATCATTAAAACACACGGGAGAACAGAAATCTAAGCACACCTGGTAAGATTAGATTGTGTTTTATGCCCTTCTTCCACCTGAAGATAATGCAGGATAGGAAAGGTTTCTCATTGTGTTCTTGCTAAGCCATCCTGCTGAGAATGATTGATTTGCAGGATTTACATGAGTGTGTATCTAGCTGCTTACAGAGTCTGTTTACTCTTCTGATGACAAAAGCACTCAAGAATGATTTCTTCTCCCTCAGGGAAAGGCAAGGAGGAAAGAAAGGAATGTCCTTTTTTGTTGCGGTTCTTTGCACTGTAAAAGCACACATGCACTTGATTTGTATCAGTAAGTAAGAAGTTCGCTGGGCTAATGTGAAATTTGTACATGAGCCTCACTGTCAAGCACTTGCAACACATGCCTTCTGAGGGAGTTGCATTGCACTGACAGTTAACTGAATTATTTGGACATTCCTATCGTTTATAATCAAGCAAATTGGTCCACTGACTAGTGTAGCAGCTGGAAATGGGAGAGTTAGGTTCAGATAGATGACCCATATGGGTCCCTTCCAACTTGAGCTATCCTATGATTCTATAATTCATTACTTCAGCACAAACACCTTGTTGGATTTTGTTGTCCATGTTTCCCAAAGATACCTGCAGTGCACCTATTCCCGCTGTGAACATTAACTATGCCCAGCATATCTTTTATTTGGTATGAGGAAACAGAACAAAAACAAAGGATGAAATTCACCTCCTCTGACTTCAGCTGTCTAAGCCAGCTACCCTGGCTCCCAAAATACCCAGTGCTGAGAAACTGGTAACTTCCCAAGGGCTCTTACACCAGTCTTCAGCTGAGACAAATCACTCCAGAAAGGGGCTGGAGAATGTGTTAGTTAAAACAATCTAAGGTGAATCCTTCAGAGGCTTAACATAGACTGCCCTATTGCATCACAGTGGTGACCCAATAAGCACGGGACTCTCAGGTGAGAGCGCGGGAAAACATGTACCATTCAACCCCTATGCCTATTCAAAGTCAAGGATTCCCACAATTTTAAATCAACATAATGAAACATACACATGAATGTAACCTGACATCAGCTGAAATGATTTATTATGGGAAAGAATTAAATTAAAGATTACTTGGGGTTCAATAGCTGCAGCATTTTAAAAGGGAAAGCTAAAAGTTAATATGCTTCATATCTACTTGATCAGTTCAAAAGCATTCCCTTCAAAACAGTTCCCCAAACCCCCCACACAGCAGGCTGCAGGATACTGCAGTCTAAGAAAGTCACAATCCTCAGTTGTCTTTCAGATCACAAAAGACCAAATTGCTCAAGTAGCAGAAGCATCTGCCTTCCTTGTGTACTCTGAAAGTATTGTTGGACCATTTTGATCCTTGGACACATAGGCTGTCACCAGTACCATTGGACATGCTAGCTGGGAGTCTGTCGTTTATAACACAAATCATATTCGTGTAACCAACAGTGAGACTGAGCATCAGTCTCCCACCTGACACACAGCTCGGAGTTCGATGTTGGCAAACAATAAAAAACACCAGTGAGATACGGACTCACGTGTTACTACACTCCTGATGTAGTGCTCACTGTGCAGAGGGGAAAAAGCACCTTGCTTTCCTCCAGTGACCCAGAGTCCCAGACAAAGTAGGTTCAGGACCACTGGGGAGAAGAACTCAATGCGCCCTGGAGCTGAGCCCGGCCTCTCCGACAGAACTGCAGCTGTGTAAGGGGTTGCCGTTTCCCTTCTAAGGGAAATAAAGTGGTGCAGGTCGTTATGGTTTTTACAATGTGCAGTTTCTTCAGGCCTTTTGAAAGGCATTGGTGTCTCTAGAGTGTCTTGTAATAACCTTTATACACCACTATGGGATTAAAGACATTAACCACCTTGCCCCCTTAGCAGCATCACTGAAACAGGAGAACAAGTCCTCTTTGAAATGCAGTTTATTCCACAAACATTTAGAGTAAAATCTTTAGCTAATTTTCATAACTGCATATAATACCAGAAGGAAAAAGCAGAAGGGAGAATATGGTCATCTGAAGGTTACTCACAGCTGTTTTCTAAACTACTCACTTGCTAGGAAAGCATTAAATGGGAGCTGAAATTTTTCCTTTAGTTTATGCTTATGTTCTCCTCTTTGGGCATTTTGATTCCACACATCCACATTCATCTACATGCACATATGTGAATTGGACTGTCTTATGCTCAGAGCAAACCAGTTCCACTTTCACTTCGTGACTCCTTTTTTCATGGCAGCAAATGCATTTGTGTTCCATTTCACTGGCCTCAAAGGAATACCTACAGAAACGAGATTTTCACGTCAGTCTGCTGCCTGTTGTCTTCCCAAACTGATCCGTATTTGCTGCCACAAACGGGGGTGCTTCTAAGGAGCAAAGGAGCAAAATTTCCTATCTATTTTTTCTGCTTATTCATAACAGTCTGTCCTCAGGATGCTACTAGCCATTCAGGGCCAGATCCTCTGACATCAGTGGGGAAAATCCCAGTAACTTCAGTGGATTTTGGATGGGGCCCATTCTGGCAAGACTGAAAGGAACAATTCATGGAGAGACCAAAGAGCAGGAAAAATCTCCACTAAACACCAGAGCTGTTAAAAAAAACTACATAAGGACATGTTTAAGAACAGGTAGTTAATAAATTTAGCTGATGTCTTTTCAAAGGACCTATTTTCCTAAGATAAGGCACTCCTGTCACACTACTAATGACTGCTGTTCTGCACACCCTGTTTCCCAACCAGGTCCTTTTAAACATCAGGAAGGTGACAAACAGCTCAGCCCGTTGGTGATAAGAACCCAGGAAGACCAGACATGGAGGAAGACAGAGAAAGGTTTCCAACTTACACTGAATAGGTACTGCACGTCCCTTCACAAAAGGGCACTGGGACCGGAGAAGCCGACTTGCAGTTGTTGTGGACAATATACTGCTCTTTCACATTGCGTTTGCATTTATGTGGCAGGTCGATACCTGCGAAAGAGAACACTTCTGTTAGACTCCTTCAGACCGGAGAGTAAATGTTTTGAAAGGTATCTGCTAGGAAAGCCAGGGCAGATCATCCTGCTAGAACATTTTACAGTTCAAATGCATAACCAAAGAAACAAATGAGAGTGCAAAGAGGCACTAATTCAGCAAAGCAATTTCCTGCTGGTCAAGGCATTTTCTATTTGTGGACTAGCTCAAATGAAGACATGTATATGCTCATGTAAAGATACTGTTGAATCAAGACCTAAAGGAGACGTGAAGGGTTTGGTTTTTAAAAATTGCTGAAAATTGTATTTGTGACTCTATAACAACCTGTGATTTCTGGGTGGATGCTACAGGAAAAGCCCCTTTTTCCCATGCAGTTTCCAGGTGGAAGAATACAGAGCATATTTTCTACAAATTTTCCTTTCAGGACTATAGGTCAAACTAACAGTATTTCAGTTATTTAAAAACACAGAAATGGAAATTTAGTGTCCCCATTGGAAGAATGAGGCAGCTTTTTAGCCTCAGCTGTGAGGTATGAAACAGCTCTGTTGCTGTAAGAACAGTCTTCCAGTCTATGGGAACTGCAGACTCTCAGTGCACACAGGAGCAGGACTACAAGCAGGGAAGAACTGAACAGTATTAGAACAGGGAATCATTGATTTAATTCACTCACATGTCTTACAACAGCCATCTGAAGTCACATCAACTGTGCCCTGTATTGAAAGCAAACATAACCAGAACAGTTCAGACATAGGTATTGCTAAGCAGCTAGTGGCAACAATGAGAGTTCAGGTATATTCCCTCGTCTCTAACCAACAGATTCCTCATCAGACCTATTTGTATATCAATTATACACAAAACTGCTTAAAAAAACATCCATCAAGGAAGGGAGTTAATTTTCCTAAAACCTATCCTCTCAGAAGCCAGGTGAGATGTCCTGTAACACATGCCTGACCTGACCTTACGTAGGTCCTATTGAAGCCAGCACAAAAAAGCCAGCACCAGAGAATGATGGCTGCTGCTGGAATTGAACAGCCTGACCTGCACAGAACCTACCCCAAAGTAGTTCAAGTCAATGGCTGTCTTTGACACTGCTTTGGTTTTCAGATCTGCTGTGAAGCCCCGCAGCGCTTCTGAAAGTTGCTGGGAACCTCTAATTGCTGGAAGCCAGGCATGAATGATACGCCTTGCTCACTCATGTACCATTTGTTTGCTTTGTGATGCACCACATACCAGAAGACACCGTGTTCATTGGTTTCCCCAGGGGTCTGTGGTGAGTTACCATTCGCTGAGTTGCATTTCATAACACTGGTGTTTCTGAAGTGATGAAAAATCTCACTTTGCTATTGCCCCAATACTCTTCTCTTTCAAGTTCTAGTGTTTATCCCATAACAAGTGAAATGCATGGGTTGTTTGCAAACAGCTTTGTTTTACTGCCACAGGACACTCCCTTCAGGGCTGAAAAAGTACATTTCCTTCAAACAAGGATGATCATCTCAGAAAGATCAAGAAATACTGAAGTGGTTCATTCAAAACAGTGAAGAAAACTCCCAGACCAGCAGCAGAAGTCTGCTCTTCTGGCTCTAAAATACTTACTGGGACACAGTTTGATTCTTCAAATGGTAGGCAGACCTTTACTGTACTAGTCAAGGAAAACTGGCCCGCTGATTCAGTGCATGTGTACTGAGTGCAGTTATCATATGGAGCTTTATAGCTCTTTCCAACCTGAATAAAAACAGGAAAAAACACCCCAAGTGAGTACAGTATAGCAATAAAAATAGAATAATGCAACAGTAATACAGTCAATGAACGGACAGAGGGGCTGGGTTGTTCACATCACTCTGAAAGTGCTGAGGTGTCTGGAACTCACATCTGCAAATTGCATACTAAGCTCACCCGCTGCCAGCCTATGCAAAATCCCTCCTGTGGAAAGGATCCACCTAGGTGGAAAGAATCAAAAGTTGGTGGCCGAATGAGCATAGAGGTATGAACAGAAATACCAGAAGGTAGGTGTGTTACTGTATTTGGAAGAAAATGTACACAAAAGAAAAATAATTCTTTTGAAGGATTTCAACAGTTTTGTTTTTAATAGATGAAAGAAGAGCAAAAAGAGTGAAAGAGGAGAAAAGTCTTCATAATAGAGGTTAATGGATAAATGTAGAGCCTCATGGAAACATGAAAATTGTATATTGGCACAGGAGAAGCTAGCTTGCAATTATCAAGGAATAAAAGGATGAAATAGAAAAGATGCAGAACATAAGAGCTACCAGAGAAGCAATAGTACCTAAGAAAAGAGTCAGTGGTTGAGACAGCATCATTAGCCGTTCACAGGAGTAGCAGGCTGTAATAAACCCAAAGAACTAGCCTGAGGCTCAGCCCATGTCTACACAACGCTAAGCTCACAAGACATATTGCCTGAGTGTGTTACCAAGTCACACTACCCTACAGCAGCTATGCCACTTTTGCTTTCTGCCTCAGCACCTTCAGAACAAGTGGTGGTACATCTGCATCAGCTCGCTCACAGTATTTAGCCCTGTATCTCCAGGGCAAGGTAATGACACTGTTTCCAGATCGGGGCAGGATGATGTGAAGCCAGATCACGTATCTCTGCAAGAGCAGTATTACACATTGCCACCATTCCCTCCAAATCCCTTCTCTCTGTTGCATGTCAGGAGGAGAGGGGGTAACATGATCTCCATTCCTGCCAGAGATGCATAATTTTCAACACAGTGGTGCCTGTGAGATGCACACAGCTGTATAAACATCTACATTTACTTTGGAAATACAGACATTTTAAAATCTCCTAGAGGTCTTCCCAACCTCAAAACGTGTGACAGTGGTTCAAAAAATGCTGAAGTCTTTTCGATAATTCAGCCTTGTGTGCAGAGCAAGAGTGCTCACCTCAATGGTCACATTGCCAAATGGAAAATTTGCCACACATGCCACTTGCTGGCACTGGCTGCAGCACTGACCCTCCTCTTCCACATAGCGGAAACCCTGTGGGAATAAAGTTTACATTTAGCCATGTTACCTGATGTCTTGTTCATGAAGATCCTTTGGATCAAAGCCACACTGGAGATGGCAGAGGAAATGAGACAACCTTTTGGATTAATTTCTGGTTTTTTTTAGAAACATGTTGGACCCACTTTAAGCCTGTAAATCAAAGCTGACAGTTTCTTTCCCTTATTGAATAGTGACTTCTGGCCATTTCAGTTTCCATTAAGACCCTGTCATTGGCTATTCTTCTTTGGGCTAACACACAAGTCAGGCCAAATAAATTAATCCAGCATATGATAACTTGCACAATCTACTGCCAGTTCTTGGTCTAGTATGGTTACCCACAAGAATTGCTGCTGTCAGACATATCAAGATTATGCATCAGTTATTTCCTCCCCTGGGTTTTAGGTATCCATTGGTCTCTTTGTGGGTGTGAGTGTTGCTGGCTTCAGGATAAAGGATAATGGTTTTATCCATTTTTAGAATTGGTGGTGGGTCTGGCCTTATCTTGGCAAGAATGGAAAAGAACCACTCTTTGCTTACATTCAGTAATAGACTGAACAGTTTGTGTGCAGGCTCTCAGCTCATGAGTACTGAGAAGTGTCTGGGAACATACAAATCACTGTGCAGTTTCTTTACAATCTTAGTTTTTGAGCTGACAATGGGCAACACCAACAGAAGGGCACAAACATAGTCTTTCACAGTAGGGCTTCTCTTTAGCAGGTTTGCAACCATTCTCCCTGAGGGCATCTTTCCAAGGGTGACCTCTTAAATTTGCTAGAGCAAAATTAGCTAGCACCCTGAAAAGGACTCTACCAAAAAAATCTAACAGAAGATTATTCAGTGGGGAAGCAGTTTCACAGTACATCCCCTCAACAGCCTTTGTTGGTGGCTGGGGAGGCTGAGCACGCAGCGCTGACCTGCTGGCAGGTGGTTTGGCATTTCACTGGAACACACTGGATGCGGTTGGTCTGTGTCACGACGTCCGGCTCATCTGTGCACACGCAGTCCTCACACGTGCTTGTAGGCACCACTGCCCCAGGCTGGAAAGAGAGAGGAGAGAGGAGACAGGCCATGGTAAGGATTCAGCACGTTCTAGAATAAAGATACATCCCCTGGACCATCAAAGCTGAATGCTTATGCTTGGGATATCTTTGGAAGAACTTCCTGATATGAATACCTCTGGATCTCTAAAACCTCACACTGTCAGTATCACAAAATGAACACAAGGCTGACACTCCCAAGTGCATCAGTCACATTAAATGAGTTATTATATTATCTTATAAATTCCATGCACCAATTTTCACTCAGTTTGACCTAGTAATTAACCTTCCAACACCCAATGAGATTTAAAATTTGTATTCAGTCACAATTCTGACCTCTTGACTCTGAAGCATAGGTAAGATCTCATTTAGTAAGCAACCTACTGGTCTCTAGTGTTACCTTTTCAGTAACATTTCCAGTACTTAAGACTATTGGCAGAGGAAAATGACAGGCTGTTCTAATCCTGCTTTTTATATGAGTGTTGACAATAACAACTTCAGAAAATTCTGACTCAGGCAGCATTAACCTGTGGAAAGAAGTGTCTGAAGAAGACCTACCTTAAATTCAACTCCTTCAGAAACACATACGCCTTTTGGTACTGTAAGAAAAAAAGAAAATGAAAAGGATGTGCTAGGAGTGATGTAAACAGTTACTGTACTGATCTCTGAATTTTGAGTGATTTAGAGGAGACAAAGAGTAGAACTGAGTTTATTCACTAGCCTTAACATCCCCCACAAAAGGGGAAAAAATTAAATAGTACATGGTGCTAATTGTTATTTGGAAGCCCACATGTAACATCTGCTCAGATGTTGTGCATGAAGTGGGGTGTAAGTCTATATCCTGGTTTTTTCCTTATGGAAAAATCTATTTACCTTGGGGGTTTTTTACCCATACTTGAAATTAATTGAGCTTTTATTTATTGTTAACCACCTTGCTGGTAACAGAGCCAACGGGAGGCTAGGTCAGCTATGTGAACCTGGAAATATAATTTGGCAGCAGAGCTTCTGGATGGGTTCAATGTAACCAACATTCAGTATCTGATCAATAACTTACACTCACTGAATACTAGCTACAGAGAACCTACACCAGTTACTCAACCTCCAAGAAAAATGAAAGCACCAACTGTAAAGGCTGAGAGGGAAGGGGAGAGGGTACTGCCTATGATTTTGAATCATGTACAAAAAATGAAATAGTTCAAGGAATAAATAAGACACCTTAAGAAAACATTGTACTTACTACAGGAGAAGATAGGACAACAACCATCCTCAGATATAGCAACCACTGGTTGGAAGCCTAAGTTGCATGCTGTTTTGTTGATAATGCAGGTTTTTATATCACATTCTGCAATAGACAACAGAGATAAAGTAAGCCAAAGCATCCCATCCAGCAGTATTACTTGCAGACAAAGCTTGAACATCCAAGAAATTAGGTAGAAATAGATTATTCTTGAACCACACATTTTTGGAGTCTGAGACACGTTCAGGTGAAGTATCTCTAAGCTTGCTCTACTGTAAAGCTCTTCCCTGGACATATACTTCTGGTCCTTGTTCCTCCTTCTCTTCCCCCACTGCATGTCATCCCTAAAAAAACCTAACGCCCCCATCTCAGAGAAGTGACAGAGAAACAAGTTGGGGTAAAGGTAAGTGAGTCAGAGAGTGGAAAAAATTAAGAGGCAGTGGATGAGAGCCAAAGATGTAAAGGTTGGGACATGCAAGGTAAAGCATCCTGACAGTGCCCACTGCTCCTTCAAGGCATCCAAGGAGCCTAACGGACCTCTGTCTTGGAGCATGAAGGGATGAGGGACAGAAAAACATCCCACCACCATTGCCAGCATCCCCCATCCTGCATCTTCCCACAGGTGCTGGGAATGGCCAGGGTTAGGAACAGGCTGGTGAGGAGGTCCTGTGCTGTTGTGGGCATTTGGGACTAGGAGGATGCAAATAGAAAGGTGAGGGCAAACATATATCAAGAACCTCCACAGGAGTCATCCTCCCTTACTGGATGGATCTCTGTGCAAGGGTCACCTTCTCATCTCAGAAGGGACAAGAGCCAGAAGATCCCATGAAGCACCTGGAGGATTTTTCCAAGTAAGTACCTGGCAGGTCATGGCACTAGTTTAGAATACAAGCTGGACCAGAGAATGGTCTCTTCTGACAGTGAGAGCTCCTGGCACGTAGATAGAAGAAACGACCACTCCAGTGTGTTTGTTTGAATCTGGTACCTGTGGGGTGCCAGATCTCACTTGAGGATGTCTGCTAAAGGCAAATGATGCCACATTATGATGTCCGAATTATCTACTCACCGCAGACTGTCTCTGTGCAGCATGGGTCATCCAGGCGTGCTTTTATTTTGCGTACAAAGCCCTCTTTAGTGCAGTTGATAGGTGGCGATTTAGCACAAGGGCGCGGGAGGCAAGAGATATTGAAGGTCGCTTCATCGCAAGCACAGTATTGACAGTCGTGCTCCCAGGCCTCTCTAGGCTGTGCAAACAATAAGGACAGCAGTTCAGAGGGCAAAAACTAGAAGCATTATGTTAATGAATGCCCGCTGCAAGAGAGTGTAGGGCTGAGGTGCCCTAATTTATTATGTAGGAAAATCAGAGTTCAAATTCCAGAGGGAGAAGAAGGGAACAGTAAGAAAAAATATTATTATTTGCCACCTTCCTTTGCAGGTTTATACATTTCCAGAAGGGAAGCCTGGTAGTTCTACCAGGAAACAGTGATTCCCACAAACTGCTACTTCTGCTTCTGTACCTCAAGTGATTAATAAAGTTCTGGAGTTAATAAACTCTGCTATTTTCTTTCTGTCATTGCAGTTCACTGGTATTTAAGCATAGAATTAAAAGAAGAAACCATGTGTTCATTTTTACCTAAGGTCACAGCACCCAGCTATAGTATAAAGACAGTATTTTCCTTTTACTTACCTGTTTCACTGACCCATCTTGTGCAGTGCAACCTATAAAATAAATTACAGATGGCTTTAATGATATCTTAATCAGGGAAAACAACAGAAGCAGGAAGGCAGGAATAGAATGAAGGTCTTGAAATCTGAGAAACAGCCACAAAGAGAAAGAGAGATCCAGAGTGCAGAGTCACAGGATATGTACCCAAACCAGATACTCCCTCTTTGTTCTTTTGAAAGTTACACTTTCTGCATATGAACAGACAGAAACTGAAAATCTGAAACATTTCCAGACTAACTGGAAAGGATCAGCATCAGGGTCTCCCACATTTCCTCTGTACCCAGAACATCCCCCTTAATGTGCACTTCTAGTCAGGCTCTTATCCCACCTTCCCATCCCACCATTTACATTATTTCTTACCACAGACAGAAACACAAATGCCATCACGATCATTCAGCAGGTATTTTCCATCAGGACAGTAGCATCCCTCAACAAACACTGGTGTGTTATTTTGGGAGGGGAGGGTGTCCATAATGACCTCTCTGTACAATTAGAATTAAACAGGAACAATTGAGAGGTCGGTATGTGTCCCAGGGCATTCAGACACCTAAATCCCAGAGGAACTGAACATCCATCCTTCCTTGGAAATTTTCCAGTTATTGGAAAAGTGCCTTAGGAAATGACCCACCTGCTGAAGCAAGTGTTTCTTTTTGCTTCCCCACACGGCTTATATACCTGATCCTGAGCACAGCTGGCCTCTGTGGAGCGTTACAACACACAGGTTAGAAAGCCCAGACCCACGCATGCCCTTCAATGCACAACGGATGAACTGCACACGCTGACGCAGCCCGCCCCATGGGTCTGTGCAGCCCAGGGAGGGGGTCCCTGCAGCTTCAGCAAGAGGGGATCAATGGATTCAGCAAGCGGCTTGCCAGAGTACTAGTAATTCTTCTGCCCAAATCACTGGGTCCCCCTCCCTGAGCAGGGCCAAGCAAGCAGAGAGAAGCTGTGTTTTGCCATCTAGTGATGGAGCTCTAGGTAACACATGGGACTTCTCAGCTGAGCTGCTCAGGAGAGACTCTGGGCCTATTTCTCACTCGTTTTGCACCAGTTCTGGACTGCAACAACCTCTTTGATTTGTTCCTGCTTTTTCTCAAGTCCAGAGCAGCTCAGGAAAGATTGAAGCCTGATGACGTGGTGGAACACAAACAGGCATGTAGGTGAGGAAAGAGCAGACCAGAGTTGCTTCACCAGCAGCAGGTGTTTCCCAGGCTTACCGCACTGCCCGTTCGCTTGCCTCCTCCAGTCCACACAGACCCCGTGGAGCCCGCACAAGGCTGCGTATGTCTGCATGCTCTGGCACTGGGTGCCGGGGTGCTGTTCTGAGCACCCACTGGCCACACACGCCTCATAGTAGGGCTGTGGGGGGACCACTCTGTGGCACTCGGTCAGGTTCCTTCGCAAAGCAAGGAGACAGACACGGCATGTCACTTCCTTGGGCTACTTCCAACTCAGAACTAAACGCATCCCCACCCGGAGAAAGTCTCAAGGTAAGATACAACCACAAATTGCTCTGATAGGCAATATGACCACACAGTTTAATTAAGAATGAGCTTTACCTCCCATTCTTTACAATGCTTTCAAAGGATGCAGTTTTATGTTGAACTGGCGTCTGCAAAGAATAGTCTCCTGCACATCTCACAGCTATAATTCTATATGCTGACATTTTTACGTTTGACAATCCTGTTTTAAACTACAAAGTTGTTTTAAAAACAGACATACATACTTGCTTACTATATTCTGATTATTTTCGTTTTGATCCAGAGCTTTCAGCTACAGAATTATAGCTAGTTCCTGATTGGCTCCTCGAGAACTGACAGACACAGGGAGTGCCAAGCAGCAGACAGTATTAAGACAGGACTGATTTTGATGATGTGGTTAAAAAATATCTGCCAAACTCAGGAACATTCACACATCAGTTCACTGCTCAGTTTTTCAAGGTATGCTAGACTTCATATTTTCATTGTGTCCTATAAACAGTACACCCAAGTCACATAGTAAAGCACAAAATTATCTTGTGGACTTATTTTTCTGGCACTTATGGGGCTTTTCTTACCAGATGATTTTACATAGATTGGAAGGCTCACAGTGCTGATGATATTGAATCTCAGCTGGTTCTGAGACACCTGGATTACAGTATCTGTTAGTAGGATCTGGGACTTTCCAATCTAATGCCATCTCTTTGAAGGACTCAATAACCTCACCGTTCCTCTTCATAGCATCATCAGACTTCTGGTTGGTGCAGGTACCTGGTAGCAATACAAAAACAAAGTGACAATAGGAGGACAGTTGAAGCTGCTTTTAGAGAAAGCCTGGAGGGAAGTTCTCCTCCTTATGGGAAGGTAACAACACGTGTGGTCCTGGAAAAGTTCAGAAGAACTGTTTGTAGGAAGAAATAATTTGCCAGTTACTCATGAAAACCAGAGTTGATGTGTTGGTTGATACATTTTTCCTGGTGGCTAAAGCAACTGAGATGGCTCTATTTAGCACAGGACTCCAGATTTTGTACATTCCCCTACTGAATAGATATGATCAAGAAGAAGGACTTAAAAAGAGCCTATCTCCATCCACCAACAGACTGTGAACAGAACGAAAGGAAGTGACTCTCTCTCCTGACAGTGTCTTTCCACCGAATAGAGATAAATTATCAAAGTTTGTGAGGCATAGAAATTAGTGGGGTTGCAAGCATTTAGACATGTTTACAAGAGAACGAGAGAAAGGAGGAGGAGCATTTACTGCATTCATTACTGTCAGCTGATGAGATGAGGACACTCACCACACAGTCCCATGGTATTGTTATAAAACTTTCCGAAAGGGAGTTTTATGTAAAATGCGAGTTGACTGTAGGAGACATAAACTTCTAATTCAGGTATTTCAACAATGACGTAAATGCCAGAACTGGTTATTCTGATGCCATTCCTAGAAATGTCTGGAACAACTTTCTTATCATTAAACAAAATCTAAAAAGAAGAGAAACAAAAGGTCTCTATGGACATCCTCCGGTTGAGTAAGGTATACGGTTTGTGCAACTGGAAAGCAGAGCAGCACGAATTCAGACCTCAGGTCACCAAATGAAATCTGTCAAAGGCAGTCATTTAAGCAGTTCTCTATGATTCTTTTTCAATATGTTGTAATTTATATTTGAACACTCATGCAGGAAGAAAATCACAACTTTCAATTCATTTCCCAAGTTTTTAGAATATACAAATTTTTGTTGACACAAAGGAATAGAGAGAAAGCAATGTAATTCCATTTCCTACCCATTCAATTTTTTTACAAGCTTCATCCTTTGTCGTGACAGAACATTTGGCAGTACAGTAATATAACTACAGCAAAATAATATTGAGAATTCATTTTATCACAATACTTTACCAAGTTTGTTTCTTTTCCATGTTCCATTGCTTGTGTCAGAGTAACAATAGAGTTGGAGTGAAAAATGAGAAGGGACATTGAACAAATTGCTCCATCAATGGCACCACAGTAGTAGTTGTCTATGTGAATCCAGAAGTTGTAAGAGTCAGGATGAATTGACTTCACAAGGACATAGGTGCAGTTTTCTTTAAAATGATGATATGTTCCATCAAAAGTCACATAATGCTCATTTCCCCATCCACTGCAAATACCTGAAAGACAGAGTGGCAGACTTCAAACTTGGTTTCTGAGCTTCCTGTAAGTACAAGCTGGTTCTAATTCTTTTACTCACTTTCAGTGAGAGCTGAAACAACCAGTTTGATTAAAAAATGTCTAACAAGGACACTCTTATCTGCTCTTAACAGCCAATGGTTTAGCTGGGATTTCTGTTCCGTTACATCATCCTACTGAATTAATACGAACATAATAAAGATGTTGACCACATAGACCTATATTTCTTGAGTCCCAGGTGAACATAACATAAATCTCAGGAATTCCTAAGTACTTACACTGGCACTCAAAGACTTCACAGCAACCAGTTTCATCGTAGTGTTTCGTGAATGGGAAACCATTGACACAGAGTTTCAGTTGCTGAGGAGGGCAAGCCGTGCTGGACAGTTTAATATTGCTTCCTTCTCCCAGGCAAGTGGCAATCTGGCAGTTTCCAAAGTTCCATGTTTCATTAAACTGTTAACGGATTGAAAAAGAAGAGGAGAGGCATGTAACAAAGTAATGTAGCAAAATCTTTAATATTACACACAGCAACTATGCTCCATTCAGTTAATTGTCTAGCATAGCATTATTTGCTATCTACTGTTTCTCTGGAAACTAGGCAGTATGAAACATCTAGCAATCAACAGAGGCTTTATATCTACTTCTGTTCTACAACATTTTGCATAGGACTCAATACTAAGGTCCTGACTACTTCTGATGACAGGACACTGCCAGATGTGGTTTCCCAGCCTTTGTTCAGCTGAGGTAGCTCTTCCCACATACAGTCATTTAGATGTTTCAGGTGACCAGAATAATCTTCAACTTAATCCCTCAATTATCTGGCAGCTTCTGGTATACTTCTAAATCACCTAATTCAGCCACACCTACAGCTGTAGTGGTGGCTATCAGCATCAGAGGAGAACACCAGATCTTGGCTGTAGGCAATGCCGTAGCTGAAGAAACACATCTTCTTTCAAGTCTCTCACCTTTCTGGGAGGAATGAGCTCAAGACAATCGCTCACAGGAGTCCCCGTGGAAGCAGGAACTTGGCTTGTTGCACTGGGTGCAGGTGTTGGTGGACAGGCTTCAGAGTCCGGATCACAGATCTTGAGGGCCTCAGTATGACCAGTTTTACACTCTGCCCAAATTAATTCAATCTGGCACGATGCATTGCAAATGGAGTAAGCACAATGACCTGATATATTCACTGGCAGAGAAACATTTTCTCCTGCAAGGTCAAAACCTGACTGTTAGAGCTGGACTGTGCATGAAACTGGTAATTCTCGAGGCCTATGAATCGCAGATTGGCCACATAGTCAGCCCTGCATTTGGCTAGCTGGGTCTGCCTGTACCCAATTGCCGCATTCGGGTGTGACTGTCTGTCTGTAACTCCTTGAATTCAGTGACTGAACAGGAGCTCGAACCATCCAAATGGCAAAGGCTGTGGGCGGGCTACAGGCAGCTAATCTGAAATTGTCCTCTTAAGTACATTAGTGGGAATTGAAAATGAGTACAAAAGGAGAGAGTACCAAACCCATCACTGAGTGCATCTGGTCTTCACAAAGACCAGGAGATAGGTTGTTCAGGAGCTAGTAAGGGACAAAGAAGAGTTTTCCCTCCTCTGTCTTTGGAATATGACTGTGCATTACAAACCCACGTTCAGCAGCTTGGGATTCAGGGTTTGTGCTGGAGATCGATGAAGTTAGCGTCTGGTATAAGCTTCCTTCCTCCAGGGATACTCAAACCAGGACAAAGTTATAGGATATGGGAGAGTTGTTCTGAAGTTTTTAGTTACAGTTCAAAGATGTAACAAGATTGTGGTAATGGGTAAGTGCAGAAGGCTGAATGAGCACCTGCTGAAGCACCTTTATCTAACAGTACATCTTCCCACATTGACACTACAGAAAAAAAAAATTTGCTTGGCTTCTCACCCATTGGTATCAATTGTCCATTGTCACTGCAGAAGCAGGGAGTGGCTACCATTGACAACGGAGGTGCAGATGTTACAGGTTGCATATGTACTTCTGCAGGAAAGGAAATAAATTAGTATGCAAATCCTCTGCTACTCTACTTTCAAGCCCTATGGCATCTATTATATTCTCAACAGTCACAAAAAGAGGAAAAAATAACCTTTTTATACCCCCACCACATTCTGTACATGTACACACTAAAATGGTCCTCTCTGTATTTATATACACTTTTTCTGTTACACTGTGTGCTACTAGAATAAAACACACACACACTCCCCCTTGTAGTTAGGTTTTTTTCTATATATATTACACAATAAACTGCCCATCTACTATCCCTTATTCATTCCAGTTTAAGGTTTCTTCGAACTTTCTAATCCTACAGGATTTCACCTGACTTTGGAGAGGTGATTTCCAGTGGCGCTCCAGTTTGCTTTCTAATGCCTTGTTGCAAAGCTTCTGTTGGTTTAAATACAGACAGATCATTTAGACATTTTACTGTGCCACCTACACTCTGCTCTCATTATACTCCTTATTCCACTTGTAACACGTTTAGTAAATACCAAACACACAGGCTCACCATCTAGACTTTAGGTCTTCTACTTACTTCAGTAGAGAAGATAACTTTTAATTTTCCTCTGTATAATTTGCTACCAGGATAATACACATTTTTTCAGACACTTATTTTTGTTTGCTATAATCATGTGGCAAAATTCCACCTTTTATTTATTTCTTTTTACTTCCTGATTTCTGTTCATTTACATCCCCTTCACCCTGAAACTTTTCTTTTGGGAAGGGAGTAAATTGCCAGGCAGCTTTATTTTCTTGCTTCAGTGACCCATTTGAAACTGACTTAATCCAATGCAGCAAACAGTACAATAAGAACCGTAGTATGATATAGGTGATGAGAAGGAGGAAACCAAGGTTTAAAAGTATGAAATACTGAGAATAACACCACCAGTGTCAACTGCAGTATGCCCGAGGTTATTGTAAAAGCTGTACTGAAAAATGGCCAAATCTCTCCGTTCTCTCTTTACCCCATTGACAGCAAGAATCTATGAAAATTACACTTTTGGTCCCCATTACAAGATTCACAAGCTCTGACCCCTCATTCCTGAACATTCAACCGCCTTAAATTCTGTGCTTATCCTAGACATGCAGCAAGACGGAGGATTCTTATTACCGTTACAGACCTTCATAAAATCACCACCAAACCTCGTATAAATCTAGTACCTTGTGCTGGTGTGGATGCTTCCCTTCCGCAAGGGAAGAGTGTTTTAATGATCACTCCGTCAGGGCCGCAGACAGCATCGCTGCACTCAGGCCCATATACTTGGCTGTACACAGTTTCATTTAAGGTGTAGGTCTTTCCATTGTAGCAGCAAAGGCAATCTGAGGCATCAAAAGAGCAAATGCTGTGGTAACAGGGGACACTTGTAATACAAATACAAATGAAGAGAAAACCAAACTCTGGATTTACCCTTCTGTAGCTCATATCATCAAATACGAATTACCTGGCTGAAAACCTTTCTCAGTTTCTACTTGAGAAGTTGCACTGGGAGTCTACCTCATTTATTTAAAGTGGGTTGTATTTTTGTTGTTGCTGGTGTTTCTTTGAGTCAGCTTGCACAGAGGAATTACTGGCTGGTGAAAGCATCAGAACTGGCACTGTCCTCACCCAGCACGGAGCACAGGTGCATTCCCTCTTGGTAGGGAACATGACTGGGATTACTGCCTTGCTGAGTGACAAAACACTGGCTCAGAAGGGTTTGCGCAGCAATTTCCATCCACTAATGAGGAACGTGCAGTGATAAACAATTTCATTTAAATATGTGAGAAGCTCTCCACATTTTGGAGAATGTATATTCTGGAACCCAAAAGAATATATCTATTACTGTAACAAAATCAGCAAAACTGAAGATGTGTTGTCTATCATGTTACCCTGCATTTTGGGATGTAGCTTCTCCCAGATATGGGAATGAACCGATACCATACCTTAAGCAAGTGGGCCCTTTAAGCACACCAACACATCTCTCATAGCTGTCTAGGCTTACTATGAAATTAGGAAATAGCACCTCTACAAGATTTGTCCTGTTCTAGAAGTGCTCATTAAACAGGTACCATGAATTGCCTGCTTCAGACTACTTTCTCTCTGTCTTCCTTGACTACCAAGGAAGTGTAAACGTGGAGAAGTGGCATTTGCCTGGGTGAGATGAATCCCACATTTCACACCTCTCCTTCCTCCCTATGATTATCATTTAGACAGTTCTTCAGATCAAAGGCTGAGTTTTGCTTACCAAATTATATCTGTACTGCTGTGCACCCACCTATTGAACTAGCTAGTTGGAGTCCGATTACCAAAACACCTGCAGTAACATGTGGTATTGGGTTGTTTCACTCCTATTGTCACTCAATGAATGGTAAGGGTGGTGAAAAGTTACCTTTGGAGTCTTCAGTACATAGTTTCTCCTCAGAATCGCTGAAGATAAAAAGGAGAAGACTTGTTTTACTGACTTGAATCAGTATGCAGAATAACAGTATCTGCAATGTTTATCTACTTGTTCATAAAAGCCTGCTTCTGGAGGTTTAATGATAATTGCCACTGCCTATGAACATAAACCAAACATTGCCCAGTTTGTCCTTTCCAGTCCTATTCTACCTCTCTCTCCATCAGCTGACCCACCATGAAGTGCAGTTGGGGAGGGAGACACACTCCCTGCTCTCCTCGTCAAAATATGGCTTGTCAGGACTACACTCTGGGTAACAGCCTGGAAAGTTAAAGTAAAAAAAGCATTCTTAGTCTGCTTTACATAGGTTTGGGAAAACACATAAATACCTCTATAAGATGCAGATTTGATACAAAAATGAATGTGATCCCAGTATGAATGTTCTTTATACTACCAATTGTTTTACCATGTCCTCTTTTTCCCTCTCCCCCAAAAGTTTTAATTATCTGATAAGATAATAATTCTTTGCAAATTTAGACTGAATGACCTTTTCTCTCTCCCCATATTTAAAGGCAACAGGCAAATTATGCTATGCATGTCACCATCACATGGGGAATTAGCCCAGGTGAGGCATGGTCAATGAGCTTCTGTGGCAAATGGGATAGCCTTTCAGCAATCTTGATGCTTAAGACATTTAAAACCAGACTAATAGCTCCAATTCCCATAAACTGCATCAAAGTCAAGCAAGGATTACCTTCTAAACTGTACAGCAAGTTCCCACATTTCCCTTGTGGGTTCCTGCAGGTCTTTAGACAAGGGGCTCCACAGGGTTTATAGAACCATTCATGTTTGTCAGGTGGGTTGTAATAATCACAGAACACAGCTGGAACAGAAGAATAAAAACCCTCCAAATCTCAGACACTGGGCAGGGGTTATTTTCTAAATCTTCTAAACAAGAGCTTGCTCAGTTACACATGCACAGCGACGTCAGAATTCTCTTCCTTATCTCCCGTGTGCCTGAGCACATGGAGCACTGCTTTTTTGTACACATTTTCAGTGCAATACTTACGGCAAATGGCAGGCGTTCTCCAGTCGATACAGACACCAGCTCTGCTGCAGCTTCTTGAATAAGCAGCAACTGAGGTACAAAAGCACTCGCAGTCCCCCACACTGTCACAGCCACAGAAGTCAGAAATACAAGATTCATAATATGGTATTGGGTTCACCTATCAAAATACCAACAGATCTGTTACTACAGAGGTACCTGCTGCACTGTGTTTCAGTGAGAGAAAGGGCTCTGAATTTCTGTCATCCATTGGCTGTTTCTTTGGCAGAACCAGGCTGAGTCTGTGACAGGCAGGGATTGTCATGAAGGAGCTATGCTATTTTAAAATAGGTAGTTTTCTATTTTCACTTGCGTGATAGAATTGGACTCTAATCTTCTCGTTCTCATGTATGTAATACTGGCATTTACGCTCAAAATGTCTTTCCAGTGTAATTTCTGCAGGACTGAGCCACCTTGCTTTGGGTTAGCACAACTACATAGTGTGTTCACCCTCTAACTGAGAGACAGTGATTAAGTGAGTATAAAAGGAAATCCTATTTCCACTGAACTTCATGTCTTTTGTGTTTTAACCTGTGCCATCATGAACTAACCAAGGAAATTAAGCCAAGTTTGCTTTTAAAATGGCTTATTAACCTGCAATGAAGCTTTGTATAGACATTCTTATTAAGAATTAGTAGCCCTGTTTCTGTTTACATTAATTCAATTTGTGTCTAAAATAAACCAAATAATTAATCTCTTTAGGTAATTTGAATAAACTTTCCCAAGGATTCCCATACATGCAGTCCTCCACTTGCTTATCTCTAGATTTTGCAGTCTGATACCTATCTTTTTACTTCTGGTGGCCAACTATTATTTCTTTGTCTTCAGTCACGCAAAACAGGCACTTCTGATTCCTCAATACTGTGCAACAGGATTCAGCTGGCATAGTCGAATTTGAGAAAGGTAGCCCTTGTACTCGAGGATGCTGTGTAATGGCCTTTAATGGTAAAAATTTGTGTGCAAATGTTCTGCATAATAGCAACACCTAGTGTGAAACTACTGAGGACAAGAGGATTACCTTACTGTGACAGGCTTCAAAGATGTTACTCTTAATGATGCTGCAGTGCTTCTGTCCCAGGGCAGACTTGAAAGGCTGATCGGCACACAGGTCTGTCATGTTTATATTTGAGCAGGTGCTTGTTATTTTCCAGCTGTTTCCGAACTCCTGGATGCTCATCTCCATGGACTGCCCTCTGGTTGTGAAGTCATTCCGTGAACGGCCATCGAAGTCCCCACAAAGGCCACAGACTTTTCCCTGAGTAATTTGCATAGGCACAGTAAATGGTTTGGTTATTTTGAGTGCAGCCCACTGTTTGACAGAAATAAAGTAGAGAACAGGCCAAGGCGAAATATCTGTGAATTTCTAAACAGCCATCAAAATACAGCATAGAAAAAGCTGGATTTGAGTGATGAGATCACTCTGTTAGCCCTCCAGTACTGCGAAGTGACTGGCTTTACTTCTAGCTCCAAATATTCTGGAGCATTTCATACTAACTGAACAAGGAAATAAAGCACAACACATGGCCATCTTGCTTCTTCTTGTCTACTGAAATGAACTCTTTTCCAAGCCCTGCTTTTCAAACCGGGGGTTCCAGTTCTGGATGCATAACTTTGAGTTTGAAATGGTAATTCTCAGTGCATACCATACCTACCTGGAAAGATGGCGCCACGTGAACAACAACAGTAGTCTTCTGGTCCCACATGAAGTTCATCCCTTGATTTGTTTCAATCACAATATAACCTCCTCTGAGATCCACTTTGTAATTCTTCTCAGCTCCTGGATCAGTGGCTATCTCCTGAATTCTTCCTTCCAAGAGCCTGATTTCACGGCTCTACAAGAAACCGATACATTGCATGGAAGAAAATCAAATAGAAAACTTAGTGAATAGCACTGGTATTCTGCCTCTTGTCTGTCTTCATGTATTTCTGTAGTCTTTACACTGCATCTTGGTCTGTTGCCAGATGTGTGAGCCACAGACCAGACCCACTGAGTTCAGTGGGAAACATCTGCCCTTGCATGACAAGCCTTACCTCACGGCCACAGAAATTGTCCTCATTCTAGATGAAGTCTGTTCTGCTGGTGCAGCAGCTCTGGAGTGCAGGGGCAGTTGGGCATGCTAGAACACCCCTTGTCATGCTGCTTTGTTTCACCATCCCCTCACCCCCCTCACCCCCCC